TAGAGAACAATGGAGGGGATAGGGGCAACCTGTTTGGGGCCCCATAGAATTGGACCCCCTGGTCCAATGTTCTTCAAACATGGTTGGTATCTTGGGGAGAGGCGCCAGCAGCTACCCTGAGAGTTTGGAGCCTCTCCCTCAACCCCCCTCCCCTCTAGCCTCCAGAATATACCCCATGTTTTTGCCATTGACTTCAATGGCCCATAGGATATAATGGGGCCGAATTGCCGCCGAAATTCGGCGGCAATTCAGCAGCAAGCCGATTCAGATCAGAGAATCTGAATCAGCCTGCAGCAGCCCGAAAGGGGACCGAATGGGCCATTTTCAGGGGTGCATTCGGTTCGGATGAACCGAATGCACATCCCTATTCTGTTCCAACGAGGGTTTCGTAAAACAATGGAGGGAAAAGCGAGTGCAGAATCAGCCTATGTTACCTCTGTCTTAATCCATACTCTAATCCTCAATCTCAAACCATGCAGAGGACACATCACATTCATAGTATGGGATCTGGAGTTTAAATGTGGCAGATACTATGACAGGGGCATTTTAAATTTTTCTCCAGGTTTTTTGTTCATCCTGTTGCTGATCTGGGTGCTTTGTTCCCGCGTCCCCTCCAGTTTTGCTAATGGAGTGTGATTATTTTGCCTTCCCTTTTCATACTGGTCAGTCTCTCTGTTGTAATCTAACTGAGCTGCTGTTATTTATTTGGTTGCTTGTTTATTGGCTTGTGAAAGGGGTTTTAACTTCTTGCAATATGCTTCCAACACCTGGATTTTAGGCTGTATCGCGGGTACAGAAGCAGCCATGAGAACATCACTGATTCAGCCAGATACAAACATTTATTTAAATAAGTAAAATCCATGCAACAATGGAAGTGAATTATTTATTATTTATGCTTTACCTACAAAGGCATATTTTAATGTGCGCTTTTGTTTCAATGAATTATATCAGTGCAGAGAAAGACTAGAAGTTTCTGCAAGATTCCTTCAAAATCCATCCTAATGGGTATCTTTCTCTGTAACAGGAAGGAAAGAATTTGTTTCCGGCACCTTTGCCTAAAACCTTGCCACCCCCACCCCCAGCTAAACAAAAAACTGTCCAGGAATTAGAAGCTGAGAAAATTGCTTCCGTCTCACCATTTAAAAAGACCATGACTTCAGCTGGAGTTTATACTACAGGTATTTTTTAAATTGTGATTTTTAAAAAATTATTTGAACATTTATTAACCACTTTTTCAAATGTCAAAGCAATATACATTTTTTAAAAGATTAGCAGATCAAGAACCACAACAAACCAGAGTATCCGCACACTTAAAATCATTATTGAATAATAGTGAGCTGCAATTATGTGAAACAGGGTGAATGGGATCTCACTGTCCATCCTATTGGGTTGGGTGCAATCCTTCTTTCCCACAATATGTAGTGTCTGCATTCACGGAACTTTGTGCAAACCAATCCCGAGACAACTGCAAAGAACAAAGTGATGTATAACCCACCAGTTTCTTCAGCAAGCAAACCCACCAGTTATTTTTGTCAACTAAGTGTGTAAATTTTTGTTTAGCAGGGCCTGTTTAGCATTAATTCTTTGCAACATTTTTGTTTTTGCATTTCTACGAACTTGAGTAAGATCAAAGTTTCAGTTCTGCCATTTCAAGTTGCTGGGTTGGATATCATTACCCTTTTAGAAATACCAATAAAATAACAGCTTCTTTGCCACCTAGTCCCTGGAACTTCTGGACATTCCAGGCCCATGAACACTAGATAATTCAGAAACTGGATTCTCCAAGCATTCCTAGAAAAGAATGTACCAGAGCCATGATCAAACATGTGGTTGGAATAATACCTTTTACTGCTTTCGCGAAGGGCCTACCGATGTTTTGCAACCCACGCCCTTACTCAGGGTCAATATTTCTGAAATCAAGAAAACATGCTTCATCTAAAGAGGATTACTGAGCATGTGTGTATTAAAACCTGGCTTTTATGGCCACATCTTCATTTTCCTTGGAAAGCATATGGAGGCAGCACAGGGCAAAAATAAACAGATTTGTTGAGTGAGGTATCAATCCTCATTTTTCACTAGCGGCCAGCCAATTGCCCCTGTGAAGTTCACACACAGCACATGGTGAAGACAGCAATCTCCAGATGTTTGTTTGTCTACAGAATCTGGTGTGCAGATATCCTGCTTTAGAACATGGAGATTCCACTCAGAACTATATAGCAATTAATGTACTTAATCCTCTGTGCATGTGCCTAATCCTTCTTGAAATACATCTTACACAGTTGATGCCAATCAGTTGCTCATGTTAAGTACGTAGGAAGAGATACTTCCTCTTACATGCCCTGAACTCATTTCTCGGTCTGTTTTATTGGATGATACCCCCAACTTCAGGCTTTGAGAAGGCAGATAGAAAGTCTATTACTTATCTAATTATTTGTAGCTAGGAGCTATTGCAGCAGCAGTCAAATGAGTACCAAATTTGTAACTTGCACCTTGCCAGTGTACCCATTTGCACACTCTTCCTATCCAGGGAACTAATGCCGGTTGTTCAAAGCCAAGATTAGCCCTGGGAACTACCCCGGCTGCAGTCTCAAAGCCAGAACACAATACCCTTTAAATAAAACTATACAAAACCTTTCCATATCAGGATTAGCAACTAAAGGACCTAGACTCAACCCACCCTATCAACTGCCAATCCAAATGGATAAGATGTCTTAGATGACTGCGGCAAGGCAAGGGAACTTGGATCAAGGATTCCTTTGAGTTGATGCAAGCTATTTGTTTTATTCACTTTAGCCCTCCTTTCTCACTGACACGCGAGGCAGATTATTACAAAACATAAAATCAATGCCTTGTTACCAACGGCACCAAAAGAGAGCAAGTTAATGACTAGAGCTTTAAGACAAAAAGGGGAAAAACCTGTACATGTAACTGGCAATCATGCTGCAAGGGGCATAATTTTCCTCTATTGCCAGCAATGCTCCCTCTAAACTGTGGAGTCCTGTGAGCAAAAATTCTACTTTGTGAACTACTGGCATTAAAGTTGTGAGCAGGTGATTTGGCGGCTACTGCATAAATTAGTTTGCTCTGGAGACATCCTTCCTGAGCTAAGACAAAAAGGTGTGAGCTGGAGGATAAAAAACTGTGAGCTGGCTCATACTAACTCAGCTTAGAGGGAACACTGATTGCCAGTCCCAGTTTTCAATAGCTATTATTACAGCTTTTTTTGTCCAGTGGCACCTTTAAAACCAACAAAGTTTCATTCTAGGTATGTACACGAAAGCTTATACCCAGAATAAAACTGAAAAGTACTCGGAAATGTGGAGTGATTTCAGCAAGAGTACTTTATTCAATCAGGAACAAGACAAAGTAAGCCGGCGCGCAGGCCGGTATATATGCACAGAAACCCACCACCAAAACACATCTCTATTCACCCTATAGGTTATTTACAGAAGCGGAGAGCCCCATAGGCTCTCGGCTGCGGACCTGGCCCTCTGATTGGTGCGGGCTAGGATCTGCTTGGCTATTGTTCTAAATGTACGAAGCTTTAGGCTTTTGCTTGACCGCATGGCCCAACGGTCGCGCACGTGGTAATGGCGGAGTACATTACAAAAACTTAGAGGTGCCACTGGGCTCAAACTCTGTTCTGTTGTTTCAGACCAACACAACTACCCACCTGAATTTAGCTTTGTGTGTTTGTTTGTTTGCTGTGCTTTTGATTGGGTTGCTTAATGTTCTCAGAAATTCATCCAGTTCAGCCCTGAGTTTCTTTTTATCATTACATATAAGCAAGGTTTAAATGTGTGGTTGAAGACTGAGAACACCTACCATAGTGTCACTTTTACCAGTTCTTAAAGCTACTACAATAACTCAAAAACTCTGACTGATCTCATGCTACAATATTGCATCTGCTCCCTGGATTGAGAGTGTCAGGCTGCGGTCACATGGGCAATTTGATCCAGTGTGGCCCCAGTTCTAAGAAATCCAGTTTTTTTGGTAATGGGAGAGTTTGATCAGACTGACCCCCTTAACCTTCCTCACCGCATGTTCATTCCTTCTTCAATCATTCAGATGCAATGGCCAGGAAGTTGGGCAGTCGGGCAGCTTTTTAAAATCATGACTCCACTGAACATGCGCAAAGGCACTTATGGGAATTAGTGCCTCAAACTCCTGGCAGAATGATGGCAGCTGGTGGTCAATGGGATTGCTGGAGGAGGTTGCTGGGAAATGGTCCAGTTGGAGGACAGTGTTTTTTGAAACTGCTTCTGAGAAATTCTATGTTTCAAACGTTTAAAAGTGGTGATGGCGGGGAAAGAATAGAGAAGCTTCGTCCTGTGTTCTGTGTCTGCTGGTGTTTTTATTTAAATGCTTGGAGCAAAGCTGGAGTCACCGACTTTGTTCTCAGACTCCCTACCCCTCTCTCCCTCCCTCTCTGAAACAAACTCAGAGTCAATTAACCCCTTCCCTACTCTCTGTGTTGCAAAGCTGTAGGCAGGAGAGCACTGAAACACATGATCCAGGCATGCGCACACTGCTAACTGTTTTTTAAAAAATTGTTGGAAGTGCAAGGAAAATGTTCAGATGTCCTAAATGGCTTCAAATCGCTAGGAGGCAGTCCAGACAGGTAGAAATGTGGGGTGAAGCCAGAAACAACCATGAGGTACCTGATTCTCCCGGTGTTGGAAAAACAGTGATGGAAGAGGGTTGATTGCAGGAGGGGATGAGTGCCAGACGGGAGACAGATGTGGCCCATCTGACCATCCCTTTAACATCCTTTAGGGAATTGGGGCAAAACCCGCTCAAAATGCTCATGCGATCTCAGCCTCAATCTCTTTCTGGCTACGATCACACACACTAAATAATCCACTTTCAATCCACTTTCAATGCACTTTCCAACTGTCTGTCAGTCTGACATCAACACTGTCAGTCAGTCTGACATTGATACTGGGTAAGTTGGTGGAAACTGTTACTAAGGAAAGAATTAGTAAGCATGTTGATGAACAAAAACTATTGAGGTAGACTCAGCATGGGTTCTGTAAGGGAAGATCTTGTCTCATTAACCTGTTAGTGTTTTTTGAGGGAGTGAACAAACATGTGGACACGGGGGACACAATAGATGTTGTTTACCTTGACTTCCAGAAAGCTTTTGATAAAGTTCCTCATCAAAGGCTCCTAAGTAAGCTCAATAGTCATGGAATAAAAGGACAAGTCCTCTTGTGGATCAAAAACTGGCTAATTAATAGGAAACAGAGAGTGAGTATAAATGGGCAATTATCTCAGTGGAGGGTGGTAAGCAGTGGGGTACCACAAGGATCAGTACTCAGTCCAATGCTTTCTAACTTGTTTATTAATGATTTGGAGTTGGGAGTAAGCAGTGAAGTGGTTAAATTTGCAGATGACACAAAGTTGTTCAGAGTGGTGAGAACCAGGGAGGATTGTGAGGCATTCCAAAGGGATCTGTCAAGGATGGGCGAGTGGGCGTCAGTGTGGCAAATGGGGTTCAATGTGGCCAAGTGCAAAGTGATGCACATTGGAGCCAAAAATCCTAACTGTAAATAAACATTGATGGGGTCCGAACTGGCAGGGACTGACCAAGAGAGAGATCTTGGAGTCATAGTAGATAACTCAATGAAAATGTCGAGACAGTGTGCGACTGCAATAAA